GTTATAAGCTATAAACAGTCTGTTTTTTTCTAATGTGTTAAATGTTGTATTAAGAAAAAATGTGCTTTTTGTAGGTTGTTGAGTTATTTTCATTCAGGGGTATGATGAATAGCACACCCACCCCACCCCACCCACCCCCACAACCAACCCCCGAGTATACGTTTCTAAATTACCCACAAATGAGCCGATTATCATTCATTTCCAAAGAAAAATCACATTTTAGAAAATGAAGTGGATTGAATTAGACACTAAGAGGATGATAGGAGTCGTGCTGAGATCTGGTGCGCCTTATAAAAAAATAATATATTACCTTTACTTGATATGAAGTGGTAGCCTAAATTCCTCCACACCCAGTCCAGACATGTACTTTACATGAAGAGGACTATATTCTTAATCACATATTTAGAGCAGAATGTTGTCAACTCATAGTCCAGGATTATTGCTGCTTTACTTTTGTTTTATCTTCCCTGCAATCCTGCATACACTGTCCAATTTGTCCATCTCATCCTTCTTGTCTTTTTTCAGCCTTTGAATCTCTCTCCTATTGTGATTTCTACAAATCTGTTTTTGGATTTCTTCACTATCATGTTTTTATCTCGCTCTCTCTATAGTCTTCTCTTGAAAGCATGCTTTTGGTTATTAGCCTGTTTTGCTCGTGCTGTTTTGAGGTATTTTTTTGAATGTTTGACTGGTTATTGATATAATTTTTCTATAACTATATTTTATTGTAAAGTTAAAATAAAAAAGGCTAATAACACATTTGCACATCTTATACTTGTAGGAGTCTCAATGCAACTTCTTCAGAGACTTGAAAGGGGGAAAAAAATAGGTCAGCTAGAAGTAGGCAGGCAGTGTGGGAGGGAGGGTGGGAAGTAAGAGGGGCATTTCTCAGTGACAAACTGCCATACAGTATATAGACTATTCATGAATACGCTCTGTGTAAGCCCTGGGCACTGCTGTGGCCCTGTTACTATGGCGTCTGTGGTTAGGGGCCAAGGAATGTGGCCTTACTGGGCAACAAAGAGAGGGAAGGGAGAGGCTCTGAAGAGGGGTCTTTGCTTTGGACTACTTTAGTCACTGGTCACATCAACACCTTTACCCTGAGACCAGGCTAAACCATTCTCTTTATCTACTGTTAATCATTTTTACTCACTTCATGTTTCTAACCAAGACACCAGGTGTAATTGAAAAATGTTTACATAGAAAATATGACTTTAAGGTTTTTTATAATAATTAAATAGACTGCACTGTTAATTAAAAAAAGAACTGCACACCCTTTTTTATAAAGGTATCAAAAAAAAGAATTAGAAGAAAATGTTATATCATCTTTCGTTCTAAAATGACTGCTTCTACCACAGTTCTCTCACCTGAATCCCTCTGCAGCAGATTACTCCACCGCCAGTTTGTGTGCACGTGTGTGCGGAGTGTTGTGAACTTCCTGCTGGTTCACCATCTGTTGCTCTTGTCAGCTGATTGGATGAGCCAGTGCTTTCAAAGGCTCTGACCTAACAACGCTTGTGTCTCAATAAATAAAAACTACTGTCTATATGAATCAATTAAAGAAAGAACCAAATGCGTCCTGACCTGTGTCTTTTGGCTGTCAATGTGAATAACAGTATGATGGGTAGGAGCCTGGCCTTTCCAGCTGAAGCTAAACCCACTGCATCTATAATAATGGCTGCTGGGGATTCATGTGAGACAGCATCAAAGGCACAGAGGGGAAAAGATAGCTGACTAAGAAAAAAGGTGGAGAGGAAGCAAAACGTGAAATGAAACACTTCTCTAACCACTGAACTTTCCACTAAATTTGGTCTCTTAGAGTCATTCTGTGTTCTTTGAGTGATGGTCAAGCAGATGCACTTACAGCCAAATGCTCCATCATCAGCACCACAACTAGAGCAATAATCACAATCCAAAACACCCCCACCCCCTCTGCGTCAGACACAGCTGACCTACTTCCTGTCTAGCCGACACAGCGGTTGACTCTGCACTCATCTCCGTCTCTCTGTCTGTGTTGCTATCTGCTGTGAGAACATCCTGTGTGGTTGGGCTTGTTCGGACATGTAGGTTATTTACATGCAATTACTTTAAGATTGTTCATCTCACTTTTTTGTTTATGTAACATTTGCAAACATAGATAAAAGAAAGTGCTACATGGTGGAGGAGTTTGTAGCACTGTTAGCAAGAACGTTCCGGGTTTGATTCCCGGACGAGGGTCTTTGTGCACTGAGTTTGCATGTTCTCCTCATGCATGGGTGGGTTCTCTCCAGGTACTCCAGCTTCCTCCTACAGTCCACAAGCATGACTGTAGGATTAATTGGCATCTCTAAATTGTTATTAGGTGTGAAGGTATTGTATTATATGTATTTGTGTGTCTCTGTGTACCCTGCCTCTCGCCCATAGACTGCCAGAGATTGGCACCATCCCCACCCTGACAGAAAAAGCAGAAGATGGATGGATGGAAAAAAAAAAAAAACAGACTACTAGTAAAACAAGTTTGGAACCAAAAGAAAGTTAGTCAACTTGGAAATCCAGCAGTTCTGGGCTGTTAAAGGGCTGTTCCTTTAATTTAATTGTTTGGTCTATGTTGCCAGGATAGAAAGCTGAGTGGCTGTAATCATCAATGGGGTGACTCAGATTCGTGCTAACCCAAAAAGGTGGACCTTATTAGCTTTCACAGGCAGACATTCTGAACAACTTAGGCTATGTTCACACTGCAGCCTGAAGTGACCCAAACCTGATTCCAAACAGTATAAACAACACAGGTCTGATTTTTTTCCAATGGGACCCAGAGAACTTGGCTATGTGATTCTGAATCCGATACGTATCTGATCTTTTTTGTGTTCCATTTTATTTATTCTATTTTTATTTTTATTATCTTTTTTATATTATCTGAAGATAATAAAAAAATCAGCTCCAATAAGGGTTGTTACTTAGATCCTGAGATATTCCTTTTAGCTCACCCTTTGATATAATGTCTGTTTCTTGTGGAGCTTTTATCCGTTAAACTTCTACCCGTCACCTAACTTTCCGTCATCTGTGAAATGCAACCTTCTTCAGGGAATAGCCTATTTTGTAGTCATCCTAATAGTGAAGGGAGTGATTGTCTCCAGAGCAAATGTCAGGTTGATAGTTTTCCTGATGACTCTGTAGACTTGCTGTCTAGTTAATTTTGGACTTTTACAATTTTAACTTGACTAATTTTGTTAAATTTGCCAAAGGCTTGAGAGTTCAGTTTAACAAGAGAGCTGAATTAGTGACATAATTTAAGTTGGGTTTGTTCATAACCAAGTTCTTTATTTATTTGACTGTGGACAGAAATAAAATATACATTCTGTAATGGGATAATTGTAGGGGTGCCACTAATGATTATTTTGCTAATCTATTAAATGATTTATTCTTTTTTCAATTAATAGGAAATGGTTCCTTAAAGACAATTGTTTACAGAATTTAAACCAGCAGAAACTAAAACGTGTTCACTCTGAATTCTAGAGCATATTACCAGAAAAAAAAAAACACATCTATGTGTTTTTACAATATATTATATACATTTTATTTTTACGATTTTGGTATAACTACTGTCCTGAGTTGGTTGCTTTGTCAGCTAAATGCATGTTTTGAGTCTATATACTCCAGTTAACAGTTAATAAATAACTAAATTAGTCAAAGATAATTTCCATAATTGATTAATCAAGTTAAATCTGATCATTTTTTTCAGCCCTAGGTAATCCAGGTTTAGTAACAACCAGCTACATAAACACTGACATGGAGTGCAACATCTAAATAATACAATGTACAGTAGGTTTAACAATTCTCTATGACATAATATCTCTGAGGTGTTATTTGAATTCGAACACAGGTTTAGAGACACTATTACTGTAAGCCTCAATGAGATTTTTCTCATTCTGAGCTTTGCATCATGAAAAAACAGGACAAACCTCATTATAGACAACGCACAAAGTGCCTAATGATCACATAAATAGTTCATATTCTTGCCTACATATTTTGTTAAATGATCATCTAAATTTAAGCACTTGGGCATGCATGTCCTTGGAATGCCCCAAAGAAAACGACAGGGAGATGACCTCACATGATGCCTGTAGGAGACATGTATGCAGTGCCTCGCAATGTCTTCCTCATTCATCTTTATCTCTGATATCCTCTATCTTTCTGAGTGAACTCTTATATTTTGCAAGCTTTTTTAAAGATATAAATCCCTTTATTATTTTTTTATGTAATACAAATCTTTTGCAAATACTGCTCTTTTGATTTACCAACCAGACAGATAAGAGAAGTTATCAAATCGAGCACAGAAAATTGGAATTAATAGAAATTTAAACTTTTCCAAATAAATTAAGGCAGATGAACAGACAGGCACACAGATGTTCTGTTAATAGCATAAAATGGCCATAGATGCACAATCAACTGCAAACCAACCAATTGGAAACCAACTCATTGCATCCAGACACCAGGCAAGTGTGAGAAAAAGCAGGAGGTTTATTGGCTTTAGTTTCTGAGAGTTCCAGTGTCCAGCATCTTTCCCACATATTTATAAAACACATAAAACATACATGCACAGCTTTTACCGAGAGGTTACAGTGACCACAAGTAGGTTGATAGACTAACAAGAGGCTATCCAACGAGAAACTGCATTGAAACAGTAAGTGAGGGGGGTGGATTTATTTATCAAAGTCTCTAGAGATCCAGCTGGGAGTGCAGGAAATAGTTTACTATCTGTAAAGAACCGCAGCAGGCTGGAGGGTATATTCCAAGGAAAAAATGCAGGTCATGATAAATCACAGCTGCAGCCTCGGTTCTCAATCATAAATCCTGTTTGTTATCGATAAAGAAGGGTGTCAAAACGGGGTGCTGTCATAGTAAATGACCTATATTTGAGGATTGTGGCAAAGCAACCCCCCCTCAAACACACGCACACGCCTCAATCTCTCTGCTGGCTGAACGGTCAGGTGCAAGGAATTAGATTGTAGACATCATCTCACCTTCAAAGCCGACAGGTCGATTTCAAACTGGCTCTGAGCTGGAGAGTCACACGCCATGATGGATGAAACAACAAGAAGCCACTCTTAGTTTATCAGATATCCAGGAGGAAGCTCTGCTGTCACGACCTGTCGTGTGGTCTTCCTTCTAGCCTCCCCTCCTCTTTTACTCTGATCCCCGATAGATCAGAGAATCAAAGCAGTCCCTCTCTGTCTGCGCAGAGGCGCTCTGGTTCCGGTGCGCACGGCTAGAGCGCAAAGGCGCGGAGGATGGAGAACAGTCCCATGTGTGCGAGGATGTAAGAAGGTGATCTGGATGGTGAAGCGCTGCGGAGGATGGCTCGCTTCAGTTGCTGCTGCTGTGACAGCAAGAAGGAATATATTGAAGGGGAGGGTACGCCGGAGCGGAGCGCACTGCCTCCCCCTGGAAACCACGCCTGTTACCGGGCGGGGTTTGCTTACAGAGGCAGCATTTACAAGGCGCATTTCCTCACTGTTTCCTCCAAGCCTTCTGTTAAATAAGAGTGTTGTTTTCTTTTATTCATGATAACTGTGTGGAGCTGTCGCTGCAGAGGCTGATTTAAATGCCCCCCTCCCCCATAGGAGAGGCCAGAGGGTAAAAAATAAAACATACAGGAGTTCCCATAAGGTAGTGGTTGCCCTTTGGCGCACAAGAAAGTAAGCACATTCAACATGAAATGTAGAATATGTCACATTTCTGCATAATATAGTAGGTATATAAAATAAAATCTCCCTTTGAATAACGAAACTACTACATTAACTTTACTTGTTTTACTCTGTAAAATTGACAGTTTTATTAATTAATAAAAAAAAAATTAAAAATAAACTCCAAATTGTTGGGAAATTGTTCAATTTATTTGTACCACATCCTCCCTGCCATTAAACTACACCCCTACCCCCCTAAAGATACGCCCTCTCCACTTTAAAATAAAATGCACATGCACAACCCTGTAGCCGGGAACGCCTATTAAACGCTTTTAAGAGGATTCATGAGCCCATTTCTCCTCGTGCACGCTCTGTTCAAAAGTTGCTGTTTGCATCGTTCATCCAAGCTACTTTCCAAAAGAAGATTTGCAATTTTTCCACTACATCAGAAGTGGAGACGTAAAAATGGAGAAGAGCATGTAGGAAGGCCTTACTCAAACATTTCACCAGAATGATTGACGATTGGGAGGACCACTTATTTAGATGATCCACCCAGAAAAAGAACATCCGCCATTATACCTTTAAAGCCTGGCGTACACTGTGGGCGATTTTCCAGTTGTGTGACAATCTTTCGATGGGGCCGACTTTCAGCCTGATCTTGAGTCGTGAGTCATGTAGTGTACAGGGGGTTACGAGCGACGATCCGCCTCTCACGACCACCCCCGATCAGGAATCGTGAGGTCGGGAGAAAATCAAACATGTTTGACCGTCGTGGGTAAATTGCTCAGTGCAAACAAGGATTCTTCTTTTTATTCTTCCTCTCAGATGGAAACACAGCAGCGTGGCAGGGATGCAATAAGTGAAATGCAGTTCTGTCTGTAAAATTGACAGACCAAAGTAGCCACGTTTGCTCAGCTATGTCTTTTTTCCAAATACATGGTCGCCTTTTCTTTTCAGGGCTTTCAGCACAAAAATGCACAAATTGCCAAGGCAGTTCACTATAGTGAGCTTAAAGGAATAGTACACCCAAAACATGATTAGCCTTCATTTTCTACTCACCCCCATGCTGAACAACACTCTGGAGTACTTTTTTGATATCTAAAATGCATCTGGAGATCTGGGAGGCTTCTTGCTGTCTGCTGACATTCAAATAATGGAGGTCTATGGCGCCCGAGGCAGAAAGGTCCATAAAAGTCCACAAAAAACGTGTCAATATTCCTCCATACTGCTCGTCCAATGTATTCCAAGTGTCCTGAGTGGGTAGCGTCCATAATTTACTCGAAACGAAGTCATTTAGAATGTTTTTAGATCATAAACAGTAGTGTATAGGATTTCCTTAAAGCGCGTTCACGAGTCTACGGAAACCGCGGCAGACCAAACCAGACGAAAGTGCGCATTCAGCTCAGCAAAGAACTCATGCTCTTCCTCAACACTGAAGTTCTCAGACATTTTTCTTTCGTTGTTTCTTTCTTTGCACAGGTAAACAACACATTTCTTCTTCTACGCTTGCATTATCGGCAGAGTGGACGCTGAATGCACACTTTCGTCTGGTTTGGTCTGCCGCGTTTTCCGTAGACTCGTGAACGCGCTTTTAGGAAATCCTATACACTACTGTTTATGCTCTAAAAACATTCTAAATGACTTCGTTTCGAGTAAATTATGGACGCTACCCACTCAGGACACTTGGAATACATTGGACGAGCAGTATGGAGGAATATTGACACGTTATTTGTGGACTTTTATGGACCTTTCTGCCTCGGGCGCCATAGACCTCCATTATTTGAATGTCAGCAGACAGCAAGAAGCCTCCCAGATCTCCAGATGCATTTGAGATATCAAAAAAGTACTCCAGAGTGTTGTTCAGCATGGGGGTGAGTAGAAAATGAAGGCTAATCATGTTTTGGGTGTACTATTCCTTTAATATCCCTCTTCTACTCGTTTGGCTTCTGGATAGACGAGATGGCTCCATCTCACTGCGGAGCTCAGTCAGACATGGTTTTTAGTGGCACAGTGTGAGCAGGTACATCACTTGAGAGCGTCGGGCCGAACATAAATCGTGAGTTGTGAACTCACAATGTACTACTAATTTCTGCGGTTAGTCCTACAGTGTGAGCAGCAGCTGCAAGCAACTATTGAAAAGAATCGCACAGTGTACGCCCGGCTTAATGTGTCCCTGCCTGGCCAACAGGCAAATTCCTAATTCTGCAAAGTAAAGTAGTAAAAAAATCTACCTCAGGATTCCTCCTATATACTTATATATAACACAAGAATAAATGAAATAAATCGTGTAAGAATGTATTATTTTCTCCAGGTTTAAAACCTGATGATGTACTCCTGGCACACTTTTTCCGCCCTCAGTGGTTCTGAGGGATATATAACTATTCTTTGGACTGGGTGACCCGCAGATCAATCCTGATTAAAACATTTTTGTTTATTGTTTCAGGTTTATGCTACCATGGTATACAGCTGAGCTGAGTCATAAAAGACTGGGAGATGTTTGGTCTTTGAGAATGGGAGTCAAGGACAGAGTAACCAACTCAGGTATACGTACAGTATGCACGTTGCTGAGTAACAAAGGTAGGTAGGCACCAGCAGCATCTAACCTTATAAATACAAAGAAAATATTTCATTCATTTCATTGCCCAGAGATCAATCTTTTTTCTAACCTATTCAGAAATGTCAGCTATAACAGTCTATATTTAAATTCCACCAATCTGACCTACAACAAAAGCACTGGTTATTTTGCGTCAATTGACAAAACACACTGTGTTTTGGGCCCTATCTTCTATGAAATAATAACACCTGTTAAAAAAAAATTAGGTATTATTTCTGTGGCTAGAATTTTTCATTTGAAGTTCATTTCGTCGAAGAAACTATTTCCTAAATTATTTAGACAAATGTTCCTTTGGGTAAACTGCCAATTGGTCTGACAAAATTGGCCCACTCATGAATGTTCCCAGGAGCTCTGATTCCAGTAAACTGGATCCCACTCATTCTGATGCTCCTCTTATTTTTACCGTCCTCTGGTGATTAGTTTATTTACCCAAGATAAAAGCTGTACAATCAAACTAGCCCAGCTAATGTTAGCTTTCAGTTATTTATCTTTAGTTGTGTTTTTTTTTCATCACAGATTTTTCCCCCAAGAGTCTGATGGTTTATATTAACCTCACATGTTCCTTGAGTTAAAACTTTCCTAAATACAGATAAGCAACCAGACGTCCTTATGAACTGAAACTGGCGTGTGAGTCAGGCCTTTGCTTCAGCTGCTGTTTGAATAAACTGTAATAATTTAACTGCTTAATTTGCCGCTTAAAATCAAATGTTATATTTGAAAAGAGTTTTACACCTGAGGCGATTTGAAGTTATTTTAGGACATTTTTTGAGAAGTTCACCCCTTGAAATGAAGTTGAGCATGCTTTCTTTGGCACAAGTTTGTTTTTTAAAAACCTGCCACTGTAATGAACGCTTAATGTTAGTTTCTTTTTAATGATTGTCAGGTTTGGTGGAAGTTAGTTGAGGACCCAAATGCAGAGATGAGTTTTGCTGATTTAATTAAAGGTATTGAGGACGATCTTTTACTTCCGGGTGGATCATCTCAATAAGTGGTCAATAAGCTTACCTTTCTCATAGAGGTTCTTTGAAAATGGTCGAGGGTAGTAAGAAAAAAAGTGTCTATGAAGTGTATGAGAAGAAAAGAAAGGCCTCAGAAGAGGCAGATATATCCCATAATACTTTGCGCGGAGAGCTCTCCCCGCAAAGCATTATGGGATTTGCTGTCACAGTGGCCCGCTGTCGCAGCTAATAACAAAGATGGCGCAGGCACCACGCAGTGGAGGAGGAGTTATGACCAACGGGGAGCAAAAACCAGTGATCATCTGTCCGAGCGGTAAGTTAACTGAGTTTGTAATAAAGTCCACTATATAGTCCTCACTCTATATAGTGATTGAGGGACTTAGGGGTTAGAGTGGACGTTAGGGCAAAGTAAGCTTGTATGAGTTATGAGAACAGAAACTTTTAAATCAGAGCATGCAGAAGGAAAAATGGGCTTGTGCATGCTCTTGCACACTTTTAATGGGCGTTCCGTCTCTAGAGTGGGTACAGATTTGTGCTTGGGCATTCTTTTTAAAGTGGAGAAGGCGGGTCTTTCAAAACATGGTGAAAATCCTCAACAATACCTTTAAAGGAATAGTACACCCAAAACATGATTAGCCTTCATTTTCTACTCACCCCCATGCTGAACAACACTCTGGAGTACTTTTTTGATATCTCAAATGCATCTGGAGATCTGGGAGGCTTCTTGCTGTCTGCTGACATTCAAATAATGGAGGTGCCCAGCGCCCGAGGCAGAAAGGTCCATAAAAGTCCACAAAAAACGTTTCAATATTCCTCCATACTGCTCGTCCAATGTATTCCAAGTGTCCTGAGTGGGTAGCATCCAGAATTTACTCGAAATGAAGTAATTTAGAATGTTTTTAGAGCATAAACAGTAGTGTATAGGATTTCCTGAAAGCGCGTTCACGACGCTATGGAAACCGCGGCAGACCAACCCAGACGAAAGTGCGCATTCAGCTCAGCAAAGAACTCATGCTCTTCCTCAACACTGAAGTCACACATTTTTCTTTCGTTGTTTCTTTCTTTGCACAGGTAAACAGCACGTTTCTTCTTCTACGCTTGCATTATTGGCAGAGCAGACGCCGAATGCGCACTTTCATCTGGTTTG